CTCGAAACTTCTTGCAACTACTAGTTGAACCAATAGCAGTTATTTTTTATTACTTGGTCTTGTCAAACCTTCTATTAATTTGTTCATTACTATTAATTACAATATAACATTGTTGTTGTTTCCCTGTTTTGTCATTTGATTGTTGTTGCATTCTGGCCTTAATGATTGCCAAAAAGCTTGTGGATCTAAGTTACTCGCTAACAGCTGTTTGACAGAACCAACAGGAGCTACTGTATGGCCTTCTTCGCATTGCTTCCAATCGAACGCCAGATATTATTGTTCTTTCTATTTATATTTATTTACGAATTGCGATTCACTTAGCCTGCTGTACGAAATGTGCAGCTGCTGCGGCTAAGTTTTCTGGAAGCTGCGATCCCCGGCAAACAACGATTGTTCGAGACCGAATCTAAAGACATAAAGAACGTGCACTCGACACGCAGGGAAAACAATCGCGAGAACAGTATCACTACAATCATCCTACAATCAAGGCGAGATGGCGTCCCAGAGCGTGCGTGGCAGAGCGGCAGACGCAGCAGAGCGTGCGTGGCAGAGCGAGAACGCGCCCAGAGCAGACGCGCAGAGGTGCCGTGGCCACAGCGAGACGCGCAGAGCGTGCCGTAGCAGACGACGATGCGGCAGACGCGTGTGCCGTGGCCAGAGATACGCCGTGGCATAGCGAGACGCGCGCAGAGCTAGCCGTGGCTCAGAGCGACGATGCCTGCGAGGACACGGGACAAGAGTACGCCGTGGCAGAGTACGCCGTTTGCAGAGCACGCCGTGCAGAGCGCTGCCCGTGGCCAGAGTACGCCGTGGCAGAGCGGGACGCGCCAGACGACTGCCGTGCAGAGCGCAGACGCGGCAGATAGCGTGCGGGCCAGAGCGAGACGTCGGCAGAGCGAACGCGCCAGAGCCGTTGCCCGTGGCAGAGCCGAGAATGCGGCAGAGCATATGCCGTGGCAGAGCGAGCACGCTTGGTCAGAGCGTGCCGTCAAACGAGATGCGGCAGAGCGGGCCGTGGCAGAACGAAGATGCGCAGAGCGTGCTGTGGAGACGAGATGCAGGAAGAGCGTGCCGCTGCAGAGTACGCCGTGGCCAGAGCGTGCCGTGCAGAGCTGAGATGTGCAGACGTACACTTGTTGTGGCAGAGGGAGTGTGGCAGAGACACTGTGGCAGCAGTACGCCGTGAGCAGAGATACGCCGTGGCAGAGACGACCGTGGCACGAGTACGCCGTGCAGAAGACACCGTGCAGAGCTACGCGTCGGCAGAGTACGCCTAGCAGCATGCAGACGCGGCAAGAGCCACCCGTGGCGAGTACGTCATGCAGAGCACGCCGTGGCAGAGCACGCCGTGGCAGAGCACGCCGTGGCAGAAGCACGAGTGGCAGGAGGAACCGTCGGCAGCATATGAAGCTGCAGAGTACGCCATCGCATGAGCGAGACGCAGCAGAGACACCGTGGCCCCAGAAACAGTAACCGCTGGGCATAGCAAGACGCGGACAGATTGAGACGCGCCAGAGTGACACGGCAGAGTGAGACACTGCAGAAGTGAGGACGAGGCAGATACGCCGTGCAGGTGAGACGTGGTAAGAGTGAGACGTGGCAGAGTGAGACGCGGCAGAGACATGCCCTGGCAGAGTACGCCGTGGCCCACCAAGTACGCGTCGCAGAGCGGACGCGGCAGGCATGCCCCGGCAGAGTACCGCCGTGCAGCTGAGACGTGGCCATAGCACGCCGTGGCCAGAGACGGCTGGGCCCAGAGTACGTCAGTGGCAGAGTACGCCGTGGCAGAGTAACGTCGTGGCAAGTACGTCGTGCAGACTACGCCGATAGCAGCATGAAAGAGCGGAGATACGCAATGGCAGCCAGTGCGAGACGTGGCAGAGTACCGCTGGCAGAGATACGCCGTTGCACAGAGTACCGGCCGTGGCCCAGATAAGACGCGGCAGAGCACGCCGTGGCAGAGTGAGACACGGCAGAGTACGCCGTGGCACAGAGTACGCGTGGCAGAGTGGACGCGGCAAACACACCGTGCGCAGAGTAGACACGCCAGAGTACGCCGTGCAGAGTACGCCATCGAGAGTGAGACGCGGCAGATACGCCGATGGCAGAGTACGCCATGGCAGCAGTGAGCGCGAAGAGCAACGCCGGACAGCATTGCAGACGTGGCAGAGCCACGCGTGCAGGACTGAGAAGACGCGGCAGAGTACGCCGTGGCCAGAGCACGCCTGGCCAGCAGTGAGACGCGGCAGAGTACGCCGTCGGCAGAGTACCGCCATGGCAGAGTGAGACCAGAGCACGCCGTAGCAGCCATGAGACGCCTGGCAGCAGCAACGCCGTGCAAAGTGAGACCGGCAGAGCACGCCGTGCAGCATGAGACGCGGCCAGAGCACGCCGTGGCAGAGCACGCATGCCCCCGAGTACGCATCGGCAGAGGATGCCGTGCCAGAGCGAGATGGCGCCAGAGTACGCCGCTGGCAGCAGAGAGACCGCGCAGAGTTTGAGACAAGGCAGAGTCTCACGCCGTGCAGAGCGAGACGCGGCAAGAGCACGCTGCATAGTGAAGACGAACAGCCCTTAACCTGCACGTCGCAATCCTGGGTTCTGACTCAGTAGATCTGCCAGCATCGACTGAGATTAGGGGTGCCAACATCATGTTCGGCATCAGCTGTGCCATTCTCCATCATGTCTGCCATGCATCAGACGGTCTGCATGCCGGCGCGGGTGTCGAGAACATTCCTGCAACACCACACAGGCTATCGTACAACATTCCTGCAACGCCACACAGGCTACCGTACAACATTCCTGCAACACCACACAAGGCTAACGTACAACATTCCTGCAAACACCCATCACCAGGCTATCGTACAAACATTCCTGCAACACCAGTTACACACACAGGCCTATCGTACAACATTCCCCTTTTGCAACCACCGCGACGGTTCGTGACAACATTCCTGCAACACCAGTTACACCACACAGGCTATCGTACAACATTCCTGCAACACCGCACGGGCTATCATACAACATTCGACTATTCCTACAACATCACACAACATTCCTGTACACACCACACAAGTTGCCATACAACATACCTGCGGTGTAAAGGGAGGAGTTGGGTGGTGTAGGGGGAGATGTTGGCGGTGCTAGGGACAAGGAGGGGAGCTTCTGTGGTGTAGTGGGAGGAGGTGGGCGGTGTAGGAGGAAGGAACATACCTGCGGTGTAGGGAGAGGAGGTGGGCGGCTGGGGGGCAGGAGGCAGGGCGGAGCAGTACCTGTGGTGTAGGGGGCAGAGGTGAGGCGGTGCTGGGAGCAGAGCGAGGGGCACATTTTTGGTGTATGGGGAGGAGGTGGCGTTGCTGGGAAAGAGGAGGAGCGGACATACTGATGGTGTTAGGAGGAGATGTGGGCGAGTGATGGGGAGGGTGGGATATAACCTGCCATGTAGGGGGAAGGGGTGGGGAGCTAGAGGACGAGGTAGGAGACAATACCGCGGTGTAGGGGGAGGTGGCGGTGCTGAGAGGAAGAGAGAGAGGGACATACCTGTGGTCGTAGGGGGAGAGGTGGCGGTGCTGGGAGAAGGAGGCGACATACCTGCGTTGTAGGGGAGGAGGTGGAGGTGCTGAGAGGAGTGGAGGGGGACATACCTGCGAGTGTAGGGGGGGAGGTGGGGCCTGCGGTGCTGGGGTGAGGGTGGGCGGTGCTTGGGCAGGAGGAAGACAACCTGCGGTAGTAAGGGAGAGGTGGCGGTGCTGGAGAGCGAATCTGGGGCGGTGCTGGGGGCAGAGGCGCACATTAACTGCGTTGTAGGGGGAGGAGGGGACATACCTGCGGTCTGGGGGGGGGAGGGGACATACCTGCGGCTGTAGGGGAGGAGGGGCGGCGGCTGGGGGAGGAGGGGACATTACCTGCGGTGTAGAGGGAAGGAGATAGCGGTGCTGGAGGGAGGAGGTGGCGGTGCTGGGAGGAGGGGGGACATAAACTGCAGATGTAGGGGGAGGAGGTGGGTGGTGCTGGGGGAGGAGGGGGACATACCTGCGCGTTTGTAGGGGGAGGAGGTGGGCGCTGCTGGGGGAGGAGGGGACATACCTGCGTGTAGGGGGAGGAGTGCTGGCTGGGAGAGGGGCAAACCTGCGGTGTAGCGGGGCAGGAGGTGGGGCGGTGCTGGAGGGGAGGAGGGATACCTGCGGATGTAGAGGAAGGAGGTGCTGGGTCTCTCTCTTTCTCTCTCTCTCTCTCTCTCTCTCTCTCCTCGCATTGTTTTCCAGCAACTCTACACGTACTCGTATCTTACGTCCTCGTTCGTTCATGTGACGACTCTGTGCGCTGCTTTGGCATTTCCCTCGACTGTCCGAACGTTTCGCGCGCTCGTTCACGCGACCATGTCACGTCCGCGTCGGGCGGACCTACCCAGAACACGCACCCACTTTTTAAAACGCAAACGTTGCTAACGTGTTTACGTCGTTGTTAACATCGTCACGACGCCCCGATCGTCGTTTCGACATCTCTCGATCGTCGCGTCTCGTTGCTGTCCTCTCGCGTCATCTTGTTCCGCGCGGGCGCAAGCTGCGGGGGCGGGAGGCAACCTGGAGGAGCGATTCGTTCCGCGCAGGTGCAGCATTTTGTATGAGAGTTTCGCGCGCTGCCCGTTATTAACGTCATCTCATTGTCTCGTGTCGTCTCGTTCCGCGCAGCTCACTCATAATATTATATTACAGGCACAGCCGGCGGAGGTGGGGGCAGGGGCGGGGGGCAACCCGGTGGAGCGGTTCGATCTTCGCAGGTTACTCATAATACTATATTACAGGCGCAGCCGGGTGCTGCGGCGGCGGGGGCGGGAGGCAACCCTGAGGAGCGATTCCGCAGCCAGCTGGAGCAGCTCGCAGCGATGGGCTTCGTGAATCGCGAGGCCAACCTGCAGGCGCTCACGGCTACGTTCGGAGACGTCAACGCCGCGGTCGAGCGTCTTCTGTCGGGCGCCGGCTCCAGCGGGTCCGCCCCGAGCTCCTAGACTGCCGCCGTCGTCGTCGTTGTTCTCGGATCGTAGACTGCCGCCGTCGTCGCCGTCGCTCTCGGATCGTAGACTGTCGCCGTCGTCGTCGTTGCTCTCGAATCATAGACTGCCGCCGTCGTCGTCGTCGTTGCTCTCGGATCGTAGACTGCCGTCGTCGTCATCGTCGTCGTCGTCGGCATCGTCGTCGCTCTCGGATCGTAGACTGGCGCCACTGTTGACGTCATTGTTGTCGTTGCTGTCGGATCGTGGACTGCTGCTGCCAAGGAGGAGGGGGACGAGGAGGAGGAGGAGGAGGAAGGAGTGAGTGAGGGGCACTCGGATGATGGGTAATTGCTGCGTTGGTGAGGGTAGGTGTGTTTGTCCGTGCGTGCTTGGGTGCGTGCGTGCGTGCATGTGTGAAAGCATTCATGCGAGTGCTCATATTTGCGAGTGTTAATCTGTGCATGCATGCACTGCACGTGCGCATATGTGCGTGTAGGCACACATTCTTGGGTGTGTGTTTGTGTGCGGGTGTGCATTCATGTCTGCGTGCGTGTGTGTGTGCATGCTTTTGAGTGTTAGTGTGTGGTGTAGGGAGGGAGAGAGAGAGAGAGAGAGAGAGAGAGAGAGAGATTGAGATCGAGGGAGAGAGAGAGGGGAGGCTAGTCCCGAGTATCTACGATGCAGCAGCAACTGTCCTTGCAGCAGTGACTCAAAAGTGGCTTGATTTACCTGACCAGTAATTACTGACTTAATGTGCAACCACGAGGTACACACGCGCGTAACGAATGCTTGTCATCAATTCCTTCAACATATTAAATGTCTTATTTTTAGCATTAAAGTGATTATTATATATCGTCGTCCCAACACACCGTGGGTGTGGCACGGTTCTCTGGGCCTGGGTGATCGGTCTGTTATGGTGTAAGGGTACACCACACACCAGCATCACGGTAGTTGGACATTGTTTTGTATAGAGTATTAAGCGGAAGGGCTGTTAGCTGATCGTGACTCGCCCACACGCGTACACTGCTCGTGCACGCAACCAATACGTACGTATTCGCCTTGCAATGCCGTTCGTGCTTAGTGAGCTTTTTAACTTCTGCCATCGTTACTGCTTGGCGCTGGCAAAGATTGTGTCTGGCAATGTCAGCGCAGGTGTTAGGCAATATCCAAGCCGGTGTCTGGCAGTGGCAAGGTGGGTGGCTGGCAATGGCAGAGTAGGTGTCTGGCAATGGCAGAGCAGGTGTCTGGCAATGGCAGAGCAGGTGTCTGGCAATGGCAGAGCAGCTGTCTGACAATGGCAGAGCAGGTGTCTGACAGTGGCAGACACGGTGTCTGACAATGGCAGAGCAGGTGTCTGGCAATGGCAGAGCAGCTGTCTGACAATGGCAGAGCAGGTGTCTGACAGTGGCAGAGCAGGTGTCTGACAATGGCAGAGCAGGTGTCTGGCAATGGCAGAGCAGCTGTCTGGCAATGGCAGAGCAGCTGTCTGGCAATGGCAGAGCAGGTGTCTGACAAGGTGAGTTATGCAACAGTTTGATTAGCACCTGCGAAGGCTCGTCACCTGAAAAAATCGTCGTCCTGGCTGCATTATTTACTTCCAAGATGCGACAATTAACTGGGCTGGAAGATTAGTCACTTGTTCGTGGATAACACCGGGTAAAATCAATTTAGCAGTGTGGGTTCAAGAAATAGTGTTCTATGAAAAACTCGTGTGCCCCTAAAACTGCTTTCACTGTCGTGCTAGCGACAACAATTGTTAAGGTTTTTATGCATTTCAGATAATATTGCATCATATCGAAGTTGTTCTGATGTAAGTGTCCGCATATTTTTAAATATTCAATTAGCATTAATGAAAACAACACCCAAGCTTTATAGAAAATATTTTGTGACGCTTTTGCTGTGTAGTTGCAATTACTTTTTTGCGATTATTATTGTATATATGCTATTATTCACGCAGCATTTAATGTTTCTGTCACAGCTATATAATTACTACATGGCTATAATAAACAGTTTTAAAATCAATGAAGACATTCAAGCCGGCAAGTGGTATTTTTTAATAACATCTCTTTAGCCTTAGCTGTCCTTCAACGAACTTAACAGAACAGGCATGCATTATACACAAATTGGTGAATGGAAATTCCCTTTCCCCGCCAATCGGATGTGTATGGCATGCGGCGATTGTCGTGTATCCACACGGAACACAATTTCAAGAGTAATATAAATTGTTAGACATTTTTTGTTGGCTTGCTTGTTTTATAGGTAACGTGTTTGGCTGATGTTATTGCTGATTCTACGTTGTTTCGTGTAACGGTTTACGCTGAACTATCTACTACTTAGAGTTTGTATTTTATATTTTTGTTTTTTCACCATACTTGCTGCGGGTAATATGCTGTACATGAGACAATGTTGCGGAATATAACAGTTGGGCTAAAAGAACCTAATAAAAGCGAGCAATAATTATCGGCATAAAGGGAAACGCGTAGATAAAGAAGCGACATTCATGTTATTAAGAGTAATGTAAAATGTACACAGTAAATCATGCAGCAATTAAACACTAGAACAAGTATTTTTCCAATTATCTTTTTGTACGAACCGGACAGTAGGTTTAGCCTTAAATTGAATTTAATTGGCAAGTTATGTTCACGTGTACTGGTTGTCATGTGTGGAAGGTTCATGCGGAATGGTCCTAATACTATAGGCTGAACAGCGCCCGACCGGCCGTGATTCACCCGCGGCCAACTCCCGTGATCAACCCCAGCCCGTGTTATTGACCCCGGCACGCCCGCGCGTGATTCACGCAGCCCGTGTGATTACCACAGCCGCGTGTGATTCACGCCCCGCCGTGTGATTTACCCCCAGGCCCGTGTGATTTACCCCAAGCCGTGTGATTTAGCCCCAGCCCAGTGTGATTCAGCGCCCAAGCCCCGTGATTACCGCTAGCCGCCCGTGATGCAAAGCGCCCAGCGCCGTGTGATTGCACCCCAGCGCCGTGGAATTCACTTGTAACCAGGGCCCGTGTGATTCACCCCAGCGCCCCAGTGATTTAACCCCATAGCGACCCCTCCGTGAACAACGCCCAGCCCCGTGTGATCACGAAGCCCAGCCCGTGGAATTCAGCGGTATCACTCAGCCCGTGTGATTCCCGAAGGCCCCCCGCAGCCCCCGTGATTTCACCCGGCAGCCCGTGTGATCCCCCGAGCACCCCCAGCCGTGTGATCCCCCCCAGCACCCCGTGATTCACGCCCAGCCCGTGTGTTTACTCCCAGCCGCCATGATTCACCCAGCCCCGCGTGATTCACCTCCCAGCCCCGTGATTTAAAAAAAAAAAAAACACGCCGCCCGGCCCCCGTGATTCCCCCGCCCGTGTGATTCTACCACAGCCCGTGTGATTCGCTCGGCAGCGCCCCGTGGATTCACCCCAGCCCCCGTGGAATTCCCCTCCAGCCCGCGTGATTCACGCCGCAGCCGCTCGTGATTCCCCAGCCCCCCGTGATTTCCCGCTCGCCCCAGCCTCCGTGATTCCCCGCCAGCCGGCGTGTGATTCCCACCCCCAGCTGACGTGTGATTCACGATGGCCCAGCCCCCGTGATTCAGCAAGCCAGCAGCGCCCGGCGTGATTCACAGCCCAGCCCCGGCGTGACGTGATTCTTCACCTCAGCCCCCAGTGATTCACCGCAGCCATGATTCTCACACCCCACCGGCGCCGTAATTCACCGCCCAGCCCGTGTGATTCCACCGCCGCCCGTGTGATTCCCCGCCAGCCCGGTTGTGATTCACGAGCCCAACCCGTGTGGATTCACAGGACCCCAGCCGCCCTGTGATTTCCTCCCCCAGCCCCCGTGATTCAGCGCCGCACAGCTCACCGTGATTTCTCATCTCGGCGCCCAGCCCGGTGTGATTCACCACGCCAGCGGCTCGCGTGATTCACAACCAGCCCCCGTGATTCCCAGCCAGCCCCGGTGGGATTCACGGAGACCCCAGCGCCCGTGTGATTCAGCCCCTAGCCCACGTGATTCACTCCCGCAGCCCCGTTTGATTCACCCCAGCCCGTGTGATTCACGCCCCAGCCCCCCTTGATTCCTCCCGCGCCGCTCAGCCCCCGTGATTCACCCGCCAGCCCGTGTGATTCCCCTCCCCCAGCCCGTGTGATTCTCCCCAGCCCCGTGTGATTCCCCCCAGCACGTGTGATTCGCCCCAGCCCCCGTGATTTCGCGCCCCAGCCCGTGTGATTCACACTCCAGACCCGTGTGATTCACCCCAGCCCGTGTGATTCCCGGGCCCCAGCCCGTGTGATTCTCCCCCAGCCCGTGTGATTCCAAGCCCAGCAACGTGTGATTGCACACCCAGCCCCCGTGATTCCGCCCCCCCCACCAGCACGTGATGATTCACAGCCCCAGCCCCCGTGATCCCCCCCAGCCATGCCCGTGTTATTTCACAACTCCAGCCCGTGTGATTCACGAGCCCAAGCCCCCGTGATCCCCCCCAAGCCCGTGTGAATTCACCCCCAGCCCCCGTGATTCATCCCAGCCCCCGTGATTACACTGCCAGCGCAGCCCCGTGTGATTCACGCCGGCCCCCGTGATCCCGACGCAGCCCGTGTTATTCACGGACCCAACCCCCTTGGTTCACCCCCAGCCCCCGATGTTCCACCCCACTCTGTGATCCATCCCCGCCTACACAGTAATAGACGCTACAAGATGCTAACGGTCAGACTGGTTTGATTAGAAGAACGAGTGAAGGAAAATTTATTGAAATACAAATGAACTAAGAATTAAACAAAAAGTGAATCGCAGCAGCGGTGCCAACACAGACTAGTTGACCAGCTATGAGCAGCCCACCAAGGTTTCAGTCCAGTTGCAAATCATGCAGGCTTGTGTAGCTGTCGTCAACGTCCACTCGATTGTTGTGGATGCTTGACCAGACGGAAAGACCTGTAGTCCTTCCATCTTAGGCGTCATGTGTGCAACACTCCAACAGCCACTATAGTGGGCGACTTTTGAAGGGGTGTTTTGATTCGGCCGTTTACGTCACGGATACCATGTTGTTAATAAAATTAATTTAGCTCTACTTCTAAATCCACACTTATTTACGTAATTGTACGTCATATTCTCTGTTCACTGAAGACGGCAGTGGTGGAAAGTATTTGTGAATCCGTAAACTGTCAGTATTTTAGTATACTTAGAAATTATATAGAGTAAGAAAACCACGTTATATGAGTGTACGAAAATACGTGAGATTTAACGGTCACGGAAGGACACTAGCATTGATTCGAGTTGTAATTGTTTGACGATTTGTGAAATTTGGAATTTACGCGCGGCTCAAATTAATATGGCCATTTGTTATACGACGCATTTCTGAGACCTGCTTCAAATTAAAGATGTCCATGCTATAACACACACAAACACGCACACAGAAATCACCTAGGTCGTTTCACAACCGCATTCTGCATTCGCTTGTTCTTTTCCTGTAAATAATGATATTAATTATGACTTGCTGTATACGTGGGTGGGACAAAAAAAAGCATTTTTATCAAAAAAAGAGTTATATATACCTTGTTCAAATATAACGTGATGTGATAACAGATGTTGCATTTGTTCATTTACTTTCATCGCATATGTACCGCTTGACCACTGGTGCTATAGGCTGATGCGCACACATGACGGCAATGAAACCAATGCGGTCAATAAATGGCGTGTTTAAGTCAAAAGCACGATGTCATTGTGGGATCTTGGTTACCAAATACTACCAAAATTTATAAATATAATAATTGCTTTACAGCATTTGCCTCGCCACCATTCAAGTTTTTTTCCAAACCGCTCATGCATCCAATAACAACACAGTATACACTTTTCACGTTTAAAGGTCACGGTAAAATTAAAAGCGAACATTTTGCAAGGTAAACGGCCTTATTGTCTATTGTTAAAACCAACAAGCCGAACTGGTTTATGAAAAGGAGTTAACGAGCATGTGCAGTTGAAATGCAAAATGTATCTTGTATAAAATCCGTGGTAACCACAGACCTCTACATACTAACGTTAGTATATATAGAGATCGGGTGGTGGTAACTATAAGGTGTATAGTGAATGAAGCCTGCTTGACTTCAGCCATTCATTTTATCAAGAGCGTATTAACAATGGCATTCTTAATAAGACATTTTTAATATGCTCTTGATTTTTTGGTGCTATGTGACAGCTGCACTTTGCTGGAAACATAATTAGTCATGACACTACGAGTAAAGAACGTAATAACCTTTCACCACATGTAGTCGTGTGCAAATGTAATGTATGGCAGCCATGATGGAAGTAACATATTATGGAAGTCATATAACCTTTTACGATGTTTCTGAGAACGGGAACCAAATCGCTAATGAAAGCATAGTCAGTGAAGCCATTGAGCTATAGTTACATGTTGACATTACAGGTGTCCATAATATCAACTCTGCATAGTCATGTTATCAATGGAGGGGGCATTGCGTCATGGTATCTAAGCAATAGGGAGGGATTTTCCAGTGGCATTTGCCGTAGTAATCAAAATTTGAGTGTTGTAGTAGGTTGTTGCTGTAAACATCCTGCAGTGGACGCATTAAATTCTGAACATTACGCCCTACGCTTGCGTCGACCATCATGACCATCTGTGAACAGTGGCTGGCTGTGAGAGATCACGCGAAGCTAGGTAATAATAACAAGGCAAATTGTGTTCAATTTTTTTTACATATACATATTTCTGCATAATTGTTTATACCTTTATTGGCAAAAAAACCCAAAAAAGAATGTCTCGGGCAAGTACATTCACAAGCATTAAAAACAAGACAATCTACAACGTGCTGTTCGGAGCGCACACGCACACACGAGCAAAGTTTCGTCAAAGCTTCAACTTCACAAAATCCTGTTAGCGCGTTCCGGCTGTACAAACACTATTAGGGTGAACGGAATTTTCGAAAAATCGTAGGTGACGACGAGTAGATATCGCCCGCACGCGATACCAGTGAAAGTGATGTTCGGTTGAACGCAAACAACACACAGTGGATAATTGTGACGTACAGTAACTACGTGCAGTCGGGGGGAGTACAAGCAAGGACGAGCAGACGACATTTCGTGTCGTGACTAGTCTCTTGCCGCATCATGCGAGATTTGCAAGCTCTTTGCCGGAAAACACGAATACAAGTCGGACGACACGCGCGCGCCACTCGCGCATAAACGCCATGTATGTACACGGAAGACGGCGGCGAGGGGGGGGTGCACCCACCGCACGTCGGCGTGAAAGAGGGAGCCACCTCACACACAAATAAATAAAACAACAAAAACGAAACGAGTTGAGCGAACCACTTCAATCACTCACTCACTCACTCACTCACTCACTCACTCACTCACTCACGCCACTCATTTCATCACTCACTCGCTCCGTCGCTCACTCCTGCTTACCGTCGTATAGCAAGCAGTTCACTAAGTAACAGTAAGTACTCTCTCCCTCTCTCTCTCCTTCTCTCTCTCTCTCTCTCTCTCTCTCTCTCTCTCTCTCGCTCTTTATATATATATATATATGTATGTATATCAACAGCAACAGATGTACAGCAGTTCAAATACAGAAACCGATCATACAAAACAAAACACAGGAGGTTCCAAAATAAGTCCCAGACCTACCACAGCCTTACGTAGACATTGTACATGGTACGGGTAAGCACCGAAAGTCATAGGCTGGATGTACGAAGAGACCTGTCCCACCAACACCAACACCACACCACCACCACCACCACCGAGAGAGGTGACGCTAGGACTGCAGAGAGGCGACCGAGTGACATCATGCGATATTGCAACGTTCGAATGCAATTCACATGACAAACGCGGACACGCGGGCTATATGTACAATACGCGGCTCTGACGTAGATGCGCGGTGAGTGGGGGAGGGCGCGGTCCGCCCACGCGTAACAATGCAATCGCGATTACGTCGGCGTCCAGGGTGCCTTGGAACGAGGCCAGAGGAGACAGAGGCGAGGTTGATCGCACAATGCTGCCGTGTCATGCTGTGAAGTGTGTGTGACAAAATAGCCCCGGCCCGTCCGCATTTCGATGCGGTGCTGCCACCTAGCTCGGGACACGCCGTTCGCGACATTGATCAACACATTAGGCGCAGATTTGAACCTACAAAAAACGGTCATTACGTCCGCTGCGGAACTCTCTCTCTCTCTCGGAACCCGGTCATCCCACAAACGCGAACGCAGTGAACTGCTAATGGGACCTCGTAAAAACAATCGGTCGGTGGCCTTCCTTGAGACTAGAAGGAAGTCGAAAGAGAAGAAAAACGAATAGTGAGTGCTTCGTGGCGGCAGTGTAACTTGCGAGGTCACGGTAGCAGTGACCGAACAAACGCTCAACCGAAGATCATTTGGTTCGTGATTCGAAAACGGGTACAAATACGTAGGTGAAGCCATCGTCGTACCTACTACTACTGCACCGCTGCTGTTGAATATAAAAGGCATTTATAAACACATCCAGAGAGATTGTTCAGTGTGCAAACGTTTCATAAATATTTTACAATCTCAGATACAATATACTCACAAAAGCTGTAAAAAGTGGATTCACCACGTCTTCGTACTCTGGGGGCCGATCCCAAGGACTCTGGGGGGCGGGGGGCAGGACTCTAAAATCTAGCGAACGTCTCCAACGAAAAAGAAAAACATTTCTGCACCAACCCACAACCCCCTCTCACCTTCTCTTCGCTACTCGACGATAACGGGACACCCCATCCCCGGGGACGTTCACCCGCACTCACGCGCGGAGACACACACACACACCACGCCCCCTCCCACCCGGCCTAATCTCGACACCCTCCCCCCTCCCTCCGAAATAAAACCCGGGAAAACGCACGACGCCTTCCTCCGCTGCTGCTGTCAAAAACTACCCGGTAACCTCCGCCGCGGAGAACCCGGGCGAAGAAGAAGAAGGGGAACACAACGACGAAAACTGCGTCACGTCTCCGACGCCGCCACCGCACGCAAGAGTCCACCCGCCGGCGTAGCCACGCGTCATGATTCGCCGTTGCCGCTGTCGTCGTCGGCATCACAGTAGTTGGCGTCCGAGTCCGCGTCCGCGTCCGAGTCCGTGTCATCGAGGTCGTCGGCGTAGTCGTCATCGTAGAAGTCGGTCATCTCGTTTGAGCTGTGCGTCGGCTCGGCCTTCGTGCGGATGCAGTACTCCTCGACGGACGTCGGCACCTGCACGCCGTCCTTCTCCGCCTCCGCCTTCGAAGCTGCCACTTGTTTCCTGGAATCAGACATTTTTTAATAGTGTTTTTGTTTGTTTTTAAGTTGTTTTTTTTATCTATTTTTTTTGTTAGTTATTTATCACGTTATTTGTTTATTTATTTATTATTATGTGTTATGTATTAGGTTATATTAAAGCCGCACAATGCGCATCCAAACGCTAATTTCTCCAGTACTAGACTAGACCTTATGACAAAATAAACTCTAGTTCCTCCCATTTCACTGCGCGATGTCTTATAAAAGGTATTTTAAAATACCTCCAATGTTGTTAAAATTCTCCGATGTTGTTGACAGTTTCCCCAAGCAACCGCGCAGCGGTGCTGCGGTACAGCGGTACGGGTGTAGCAAAGATAAAAACATGTGACGTCACCTCACCACTTCGAGGCTAAATTGTTTGGCAAACAGTCGGCGTTTGCGCCAGAATGCCAGTTTTCTTACCTCTTTCTTGTGGGTTTTAAGCAAACGCGCAGTGAAATGGGAGCAACTAGAGTTTATTTTGTCATAAGGTAGTGTGATTATGCATGACACGAAGTATTTGCTAGTCTATAGTACTGGAGAAATTAGCGTTTGGATGCGCATTGTGCGGCTTTAATTATGTGCTTATATATATATATTTGGTTTTGTTGTGGAATGTACGACAAATTCGCTGGGAACTTGGACTGGAATTTTTTGTAGTAAATAATAAATAGTAAGTTATTCACTAATTGGCAGTAGTATATAAATAATAAGTAAGTTATTTGGTAATTATAAGAAATAGCCAAATATAAATGTCAGACACGAATGATATCTAATACAAAAAACATTTGGTCTGATTTCGGAAACGTGAAACTTTTTGAAAATTGTACATTTTAAAGTGCGTTGCTTGGTAGTGTTACGTTTTCAACTCTCAGTAGTGTTGCAGGGCGCACCCTCATGATACGGATCAGTCTTGCTACTCTATATTTACCTGATAATATTCTCGTATTCCTTTTCTTTGCCTTTCGAGTCCCTCCACCTTCTGTACATGACGGATGCGTCAACATTGGCAGGCGAGAATGTGTTAGGCTCGTTCAACAGTGAAATCACACTTAAGAGTATCGTCCTGTAAGTGCAATAGTGGCAGATTAGGAACTGCGTTTCAGTCTCACTGAAATCTGTCTCACACAGCTTCCTCGTTTGCTCTCCCAGAACACACTGAGACATTAAAAATAGGGGTTTTTAAGAAATTTCAGTAATTCTAAGAAAACTGAACTCTACGTTCAGTCAATGATCTAAACATGCTTGGTGCACAGACGCTATAAACCTTCGAGCATGTATTTTAACAATCAAATTTAAACATTAACCATCGTTACGTGCATTAACTTCTACTCTCTGTAAACCATCTCACATAAGCATTAAAGCAATAATTATGTTTGTATCATCTGTAATGTGATTAACATCACAATACTATCTGTTGTTGTGTAGCATACTCTGTACATGTATGTGTGTGCATTTTTGGAAATAAAGTACATTATAAAAAAATTAAAAATTAAAAACTTCTACTCTCTGTACTTGACTGTAAGACTACAATGATCCACTATGGTTGCGAAACTATGTGCATCCAGATATATACAAGTCAAGCGACGATACATCTCGTGATACAAACGAAAAGCAAACAGCAGAATTTCAATATCAAGTTGCCAAGCCATGAGCCAGATACAGAACACACTCTCAGCAAATGCAATTGAATACTGAACATGGCATTGAACATTGGCATTGGCATTGAACATTGAATACATGGCAAATGCGACTGTCACTCGATAGATGCTCTGTGGCTGCTCTGCTGTAGAGTTGCTTTAAATGGAGGGTAGCTATAGTAGCAGCACATCGTAGTTTCACCAGACAGGAATCTATTTGTACGAGGTCGTTTAGTGAACTCGCCTGACGTTCTGCGTGGGGTTCCACCTCTCTGAAGGCAGCTCTCCGCTCTGTGGGTCATCGATTGGTGGATGAAGAATCGAGATGCACAGATCACCATTCTGCAAAAAGAACCAGCGCGCGTTCACAACAGACTGGTGAGATGGCAAACATCTGATAGGAGGAATGCAGGCAGACCTGCGCGTGCATGAACCCTGTGAATCCAGCTAAACTGGGATTACAGGACGCGTGGCTGTAATATTAATAGCAGCCATGAGTACAGGAGCCCGGTTCATAGATGTAGCGCTAACGGTGTAGCCCCTTCGCTCCCGCTATAAGAACTTCCTTTTCCTCCGTAGAAGTGGCGAAGGGGCTACGCCGGTAGAGCTAACATAAATGTAACTACTGTAATTACAACATGTGTAAATTGAAAATATGGTCGTGTGACAATGCTTAATATAAAGGGTGTGGCTCTTTATAAATCGTGCATTCGCCAATGATACAAATCATGTACAACGATTTTTTATGGAGAATTTTAATTTTTGATTGGGTATTTTTTCTAAATACAATCAAAGAAGCAGAATGGAATAGGTTTGCCATCGTTCTGCGAATTACATCGTTGTTTACTAGCAATAAGAAACTCCCCACCTCCTTCCCCCGATGACATATACATTCTAACAATAGTAACGATGTCCTTGCCAAACACGACGAAAATACGTTCATAATTAAAGCCGCTAAGAGCCGTTGACACACGTTTTCTATAAATAGTAACCACGATCTGGGTCTTACAAGCATGGCGCCCTGAAACGGGAACTCGTTCTAGGCACTGTCACATCTAACACTTCCCATTTTAAAAATAGAGTCACTAAAACGATGACAATCGGTGAATATGTACATGCGTACGGGGGAAGAAATCCATGCTATTATTCTCTCTGCACAAACTCGTTACAAGAGGCATAATATTCTTTCAAACGGTGTAGCAATATAAATATCATCGGGGGTGAATAATGACAAATTTGTCATTACTCACCTCTGATAACATCTAGAAACCGGGGCCATGTAACGTGCAGCCCTAGACCACCGCAACCTCACATCGTCCATTGCTCAATAATTCACTTCTCTCTTCTCCTCGTCTATAAATTACATTACAACATTGACACTATATCTTTTACACTGACATTCGAGATGTCATTCAATAAATGGCGCTAAGATCCGAATACATAATTATATATTTGTTCCAGTACTGCATCTACTGTGCTTTATGCTGGCATGTTCTACTCTACATCATTGTACTCTGTACATGTACATTTAGGCACTCGATATTGAAACGTACATTGTTCGCATATCCAGCCATTCACGTCTGCTTTACGCTGTGACGTACAGCGTACACAAAGGGCACTGGGTACTGCTGACAGAAAGACTGACTGTGCAGATAGATATACGTCGACATGGAGGTCTTTGCGCCTTAATGTTTACTGGAGGGAGTGCTGAACTTTACACTTATACACAACATGTTACACTGCACGTGTGCAGGCTGTATTCACTGTGCGTCTACATCTATTTGCACTTTTTTTACTATATATATACTATTCTAACGAGGTCAGATGTATAAACGTACACCCACTCATATTACACCGGGATGAACATTGTATGCCATGATGTACATAGTGCATAGTACACATTGTACATATACATACATAGTATCAGGGGGTTAATAATGACAAATACAACCCCCGATTATATATAGTACATCGTATATAGGGCTATGTGTACTTCACATGTAAACACAGCCGTACTCACGTGCAGCACGTACAGGGAGCCTATGCATATATGCATATATATATATATATGTTAAGTATATAATATGTTAAGCATATATGTGTAAGTCACACCAATTGTTAACAAAAATGTGTCAATATTTAATTAAATTGCAATTACATTGTAATTACATTGCAATTACAATTGTAATTACATTGTGATGCATAATATAGCACGTACATAGAGCCTGCCCATATATGTAATGCACACAGTATGTAAACACATACATACATTATATATAACACATATGTGTAACAGTATGTAACAGCCAGTATTCACTTCTGACATACTGTGATGTTTACAACACCTTACACACATGCTCACAGACATGTTCACTTCACACTGTGCTGTGCTACTAAGAACACACAATTGACACAGACACATTTAGGTATAGCGGTCTGACGCACATTACATGCACGCAAGCAGGCGCGAGCGCACATCTCTCCCTCTCCCCCCTCTCTCTCTCTCTCTCTGTCTGTCTCACCTCGTACACGTTGGGGTGCCACACCTTCGACAGAAAGCGAACGCTAGGCGGAGAGTACGGGTAGTCCGGTGGAAACTTCATGTGAGCCTAGAAAAGAGAGCGAAAAGAGAGAGTGAAATAAAAACACTACTGATGGAGCGGGACCAAGCGAGCGGCACAGTTCCTCTCGAATGTGACACACTGGGACAAAGCCAAGACGTATACAGTTATACAGATGTACAACTTGATATCATATATATACAGTTGTTTTAGCCGAATTAGTCCGTACTGCGCGAGTCGCCATAAACTAGAGAAGCTCGGCAGCCTTAGAGGAAAACTAAAGATATTTCAGAATCGCAGAGTCTGGGAAGTGGTTCTGGCTGAAACAAAAAATTTTAAAAGTAAAAAAGATAAAAATTGATAAAAATTCTATTCATCAATAGATGGCGGTGCGTCTACAGATTACATCAACGTAACGTGTGAATCTTATGGTGTATACCCTTAACGGCGCATTGGCTAATTCACTAGAATCGCGTCTCGCTCCACCAGATTCCAGGTTTGAGTCGCAGCTGGGAAACTTATTTCCCTTTTCCCGCTTTACTCTCCTCTTTATATGCTTATTTTTAATGTCTTTATGCTTTTGATTTCTTATTATTTTTTACTGTTTGGGAATGGGATGGGATGGCATGGATGCGCATGGGATGGGAATGGGATTGGATGGGATCGATCGGATCGGATGGGAATGGGATGGGATGATGGATGGGATGAGCATGAAGATGGATATCATGGGATTGGGATGGGATGGGATGCGGTGGGCGATGGATGGCATGAAATGGGATGGATGGATTGGATGCATGGATGCGAAGCATGGAGTAGATAGATAGTTATATTTTTGGGTCTTTATTTCCTTACGCGGCAGCGGTCACCAACTGAGTAACGCACGACAGAGATTTCCCCGGGCAATGCCGGGTATCCGGCTAGTATAATTAATATCAGGAGTTAATAAAGACAATTTGTTCTTATTATCATCCTGATCTATATATATTATTATATATATATATATAATATATATATATAACACCAGATTTTTTATACTATAGCACAGTGTGTGTGTGTGTGTGGTGTGTGTGTGTGTGTGTGTGTGTGTGGTGCTGTGTGTGTGTGTGTGTGTGTGTTGTGTGTGTGCGCGTGCGTGCGTGCGTGTTGTGTGCGTGCGTGCGTGCGTGCACGTGTGCGTAAGGTATACTCTATGCCGGGGCAGGTTAGGCCGTGGGTTTTAACCCCTTATTTGGTTATTTAGTTAATCAATGCACACGGGTAAATAAAATGATGCAGCGAGATACGATAGCCATCTAGTTTTCTCATGCCGCTTTTATACTGCGCACGACTTTAGCCCGCTTCTGAAGCGGGATAACTTTAGCTCGGGCTATAAAAGTATGTTTCGACCTTTTATACTGAGGGTTATCCCGCTTCAGGTCCGGAACTGAAGCGGGATAAACCCCAGTATAAAAGCGGCATCAGATAAAATGTTAATACGCGCCGTAGCAATTGCGTAACAGAGATCAGCATTTAGAACCGCCAAGTTCCACTTGGCCTACATGTGCGCGTAACACCCTCGGCTCAGTGCAATGACACAGTTATGGCACGGGTGCATTATCTAAATGCACTCCTTTCTCCTCCGCCTCCTTCTCCCTCCCCTCTTTCTCCTCCTCCCTTCTCTCCCTCCCCGCTATCTCCCGGTGCATTCTGGCGCACACACGAACACGCATGTACAGCGTGGCATTCTAGACTGATCCGCGGGCCCTCTTAATCTATTGCGTGCATGATCAGTGCACTTCTGATTTAATAACGGTCTACAATTCATGTTATACGTGACTGTGACTAATACTAGGGAACTACTAGTAGAAGTGCTTAATATAGAGATGACAAAGAGATCTCCGAGAGAAATAAGCGAGTGTACATGGAGTGCATAATATCAGGGGTGAATAATGACAATTTGACATTTGTTCACCCCTGATAATATAGATGACAGAGATCTCTGAGAGAAACTAGCGAGTGTAACACTAATATTGTAAGTGAGTGTAACAAATAATAAACGTGAGTGTAACAAATATTGTAAGCTATAGTATTGCAACTATGAATACAAGCGAGTGTAATACAACTGTATAGTAGTGTAATACAACTGTATATAATAGCGAGTGTAATACAATACAACTAGTATTGTAAGCAAGTGTAACTAGTATTGTAAGCAAGTGTAACTAGTATTGTAAGCTAGTGTAACTACTACTATGAGTGATTGCAACATACATAACTAACTGTGTAGCGAGCAGAGCTATGCAGAGCGAGCGAGAGAGCGTAGCGTGCGGCTGTAATGTGAGAGAATTTTGAGCAGCACGTATTACAGAATCATTATATTACTATTAGCAGAATCATGAGGAGTCGTGAGTAGCTGAACCAGTGACCTGACTTAGTATGAATTTGATGTTATACTCTACGGCGACCTACGGCTAGCCCTCTTCATCAAAACACATACACACACATGACATGTGCCTCCCACCCCGCTATCAAATCTACTGCACTACTATCAGGAGCGTATAATATCAGGAGTAGATAATAGGGTCCCTAATATCTTTTATTATATAATATAGTCCCTATTATCTACTCCTGATAATATCAAGAGCGTGGTATTAGGCCATTAGGGTAGTAAGAATTATGTAAGAATAGGGTAGAAGAGCATTAAGCTTCTTAATACGCTCTTGATAATATATATCAGGAGTGAATAATAATAATTAATATATATAAAGAGAAATTGAATGAATTTTTAATGAATCATGAGCGAGAATTTAAACGATTTCGAGGCGAGCCGCATGGCGCCACCTTGTGTTTAAATCGGGCATTTTATGGCATCGTGCCAAGCTGGGAAAGGGGGGCGCCGCAGTAAATATGTTCGAAACTGAGTATTTAATTCAACAAATCGAACGTTAGAAACCGTGGTTCGTTTGCGCTATGGAGATGGCTTCACTAAAATTGCCATTCGACGGAAACACCAAAACTGTCCTTTATATGCAGATTTCTGTGCTATAGACACAGTTCCACTGCCAATCAGGGTAACATCTAATTGTCCTTTATACGCAAATTTCTGCTCTATATACACAGTTTCATTGCCACTCAGTGCAAACACGACAATTGTCCTTAATACGCAGATTTCTGCTATATACACAGTTTGACTGCCACTTAGGGCAAATAGTGCTAAATACCAAAATTGTCCTTTATACGCAGGTGTCTGCTCTACATACACAGTTTCATTGCCACTCATGGGAAACACCAAAACTTTCCTTTATACACGCAGGTTTCTGTGCTATAGACGCAGTTTTCACTGTATAACTGCCACTCAGGGTAACACCACAATTGTCCTTAATACACAGGTCCTGCTCTATATACACAGTTTCACTGCCACTCAGGGTAAACGCCACAATTGTCCTTTATACACAGGTGCCTGCTCTACAGGACGCAGTTTTCACTGTATAACCACCACTACGAGGAAACACCACAACTGTCCTTTATACACAGGTGTTTCTGCTTTGCAGGACGTAGTTTTCACTGTATAACCACCACTACGAGCAAACACCACAACTGTCCTTTATACACAGGTGC